GAGGATTCTCTGTTTGGCTCTCAGTTGCATGAAACCAAGCAGGAATTTCAAAATCACCTTCAAGAATGGCACTTGTGCGTTGATCCTGGTACATCCACAGTGGAGCTTGACCTGGAGGGACTGGAATGAGAACATTCTGGTACAAGTGGCACTCGCATTGGATGCTGCTCGTATGTGTTCTGATTTCTCCATGGTGGATAGTTGGGATCTACAAATCCAGGCCATAGAATATTCGTCTGATTTGCCATGAATGGCCTTGTAACCTGAGGACCAAATCCAGCTGCATAGCTGTGATCTACTCCAAATCTTGGAGAATATTGCTGCTGCATACCAAAAGACCGGTTACGATTGTTCTGATCAGACGTGACCGATGTTGAACCACGGTTTGGTTGATTAATCTTTTGATCGCCCCTACGAATCTGCATAAGAGTAACAAGAGTATTACTACATAATCTAACGTTAATGGCAGAACAAGAAGCAAGCAAAACAGAGACATTTGAAGAAAACGACTCTTTCACTTGAAGAAGAAGACTCTATAATCATTAGTTGTGGTTCTTCAGCGATAACAACATCACAAAGCTCAGGATTTACCGTGCTTGAATCTTCTTGAGGATTCTCTGCTTGGCTCTGCTCAGTTGCACAAGATGTTGAGCCAAGATTCATCGTTTTCTGAGTAACATCTTCCTGCAAAAACCAGATTCGACCAATTACTTCCAAGCCAAGTAAACAAGAAATAAAAATGGAGTTAAAGAAGTTTAGTGGGATTATTATCATCTTCTTCACGTACCCTTTTTATCTCGACGGTTCCGCTACTGTCACCGTTTCTTGATGAAGAAGAATACTCTGTTTTCTTCTTTCGTTCGTTAATGGCGGAAGAAGAAGAAGTGGCCAAACGAGAGGCAATTGCAGAATAAGACAGCTTCACTTGTGTAGACGATGATGCTCTTGATAGTTGTTCTTGCTGGTTCATCGTTTGACCATTCCTCCTAGGACTCTGCATCTAAGTAACAAGATAATCCAACATTAATGGCGGAACAAGAAGCATGCAAAACAGAGACAATC